TTAGTTCCTTCTATGGTGCATATGGCTCAAGAATTTTAACAGTGTCAGTGAAAATGTCCAATGTTTATTCAACCATTAATTCACCCTCAACCCATGCATGTACAGGCTGAAGTTATCTGGTATGCCTATATGCACATGGGGAAAATTTTGAGTACAAAAATAAAAGGTTGACCAACAATCTTGCTAGCATTTTTAATCAATACACCCAGGGGTGAAGACCTTGGAACTTCTTAAAGAGGGACATAATTTAAATCCATTTCAAAGGAATGTTGTCACCCAAATATTTGGCTTAAAAACTGTATTATGCATTTCCAGGGAGCTGGTTCAAAAATCTCTTGGAAAATATTTCCAGGGGAGACAATGAAAAACATTTTTGGAAACTCCAGGATGTTTTGAAGGTCTTCACCCAAAATCACTACTTAAATACTGAACACTGAAAAATATTTGGGTTTTTATCAAATTTGCCAATCATCATTTGCTTCTTCATCATAACTTGCCCAGTCTACAAATGGGAAAAATTGTTGTCAAAAATGTTGTGTCTTGGGCAGGCATTACTTATTACTTGATTAGTCTATTACAAAGCCATGGGTAGCCTGTCCTCCCATCTAGGTGCATGCTTAACATGATTGGTGCATATAGAAATTATTTTGGAAAAGAATGTCACTATATTATTTCATACATACAATAAAATAAACTAAGCATCTGTTAAATTCCAATTATTATTAGCATTCACAAACAACAGTGTTACTACAGCCAAAATAGCAACAAAATATATAAATCACAGACAAAATATATAAATCACAGACACAGCTGATTGAGCTGAATGCTTATAAATGGAACAACTACTGAACTTAGTGAACTACAGTACATACAAGTATACAACTGTAAAATATCAGTAAAAATTGTAAAAAGAGATTAAGTCATTAACTATATTCTGAATTCACATGACAATTGCTAATGTAACCCCCTGCACTCTTAATTCCTGACTATCAGACAAATAGCAAAAAATAGCATAATGTGTTATTGTTAAGTTTTTAATAGTCAAAAGATTCACACCGTACCTTAAGATAGAAAACTTTTGCCGTTTGTCAACCAAATTCTTTGTCAAGCAAAGTTTCTTCCTTTCCACAAAAGATCCACGATATTTTACACAAATTTACAGGTATATTAAAGCTAAACTAGCCAAGCAGGCTAAGCCCATAAACCAAAATATGGCAAAATATTTACAATTCCCGCTCATATGAAAACAATTTTGTTGAAAAAAAAGAAAAAGAAACTGCAAATCTCTCCCAGATTTACCTCTTCCCATAGGCAAACTTGAAAATAAAAATAATTCAACAAAAATCAGCGAGATTTCCAACAATATCCTTGATTTCGAAACAATTTTTTGCGATCTTTTTAGTAAAAAATGCCCGCCATTTTGTAAGTTTTCGGGGGGGTGAATGCCTCTCCTTAGCGCACTGGCTAAGCTTTTGGTTACACTCGAACATTAGCGTTTCGTAATACAGTTACACCCCTGTCCAGTATCTACTCTGTGTCTTGGACGATTTCACGACGCGAAAATACAATTTTCACGTCCTCTCTAGAACGTCACAGATTTTTGCTTCTTTTGAAAAAAATTTGAGACTATGCATAATAAAAATGATCCTATTTTGTTCCCCATGTATTGTTTAATGATACTAGCTAAAGTTTTTCCATTGACAAGGTTGTTTTTTTGTATTTCGTTAAATTTTAGACGAGTTGATTTTCGACAAATACTTTCGGTCCCTATATTAAACAAATCAACAAAACTGCAAGCATTGTAAATAACCACTTCAATACCTCTAGTAATCTTCACCAAAACAAATATTCTAGAACAAACTAAACTGAAGTTATATTAACAACTGTTTAAAATCAGGAAAACGTGGGAAAATAGAAAAATAAAAGCACTTAAAAGCAGTAAAAACTCAATCAATTTTAGTTGCTCTGTCACAACAGTCAACAGTGCAAAACGTAGGACAAGCAAAAAAACGCTTTCCAGCGTGAAAAACTATCGTAAACAGTATTAAATTTTACCAATTTAAACACTGATGCTATATTTATACTGAACAGTTGACAAACTTGATTGAATAGCCTACAATTAGCTCGTAAACAATACCTGCAGCTGTTGTATTTATTCCAAAAGTTCACTTTCCAAAATACCAAAAAAATAACTTTTTTTCTAAAAAAAAACTTATTGAATGTCCATACTAATTCATCAGGAAACACTTGGCCAATATTATATAGCCTTTTCTTGCACATATCTTGACAATCGATTGAAAACAATACAGGAATGAACAGGTAACAAGAAAACAAAAATTTGCTTCGAAAAAGACAAACAAGCCGTCCCAGATTAAAACCAGGAAGTGAACGCGAGGTGCATACGTCATTCTCACGTCCTCTTGACCAAAGATTAAAGGTACGTTTACACGCTGCGATTTGTCGGGCCGATTTTGAAAAAAAATCGATGTCCCTTCTTCGACATTTAGCGATTTAAACGTTCAGTTGAAGCTGTCCGCTCTCTCGTCTGTTCATATTATAGTTTTCTGCGTGCGAAAAGTTTTCAACAACTTTACAACGGAAGAAAAATCGTTGAATCGTGAGAAAATCTGTGGTTTTGTTACAGATTTTTCTCCCGATTTTGTGAATCGCAATGTGCTCACGCGAGTACTCACGACAGGTTGTTTACATACAGCGAGCAAAATCGGCCCGACAAATCGCAGCGTGTAAACGTACCTTAAGTATATACCGATTGGGGTATCAATTTCCCATTTGTAATACAAAATTACTGAAAAACGGCAAACTTCGCAGGGCTATATTATCCGCATTTTACAACATTTCGTAACGAAACTTTGGAATATTACTAATTTTTTGATGCTCTTTCTAGCTGTGATGAAATTTTTGTCTAGATCAAAATTTTAGTTATAAGGTAAAAGGTCCATTGCACACCTGTATTTTTGTGTTGTACATTTACGATCCTGTCGAAAACTAAAATTATGGCAAAAAGTTTATAGGCATTAGTGTGGGGACCCCTGTTGACTGTTGCGATGCAAATCGTGCAGAGGCTTCGCGCCTTCCTTAACCTGAAGTTCAGGCCCTAATCACAGAATAGGGCCTGACACAAAACCTATCTAAAGTGTGGGATTCCCGTCCATCTGGTGGACGGGAAATCTGATTGGTTGATCAGCATCATGAAGGATTTTGATTGGTTGCAAGTTTACATAAACAACAGTTTTAAAAATAGCTCGGTCAAGGCGACAATTAATATAAAGGTCAAACGGACGTACAAATTCTATTCTCGATTTCTTCGAATTTCTTTTTCTTTTATGATTTATGGCAGAAAATAAATCAAACAAACAGTATTTTAAAAGGGCTTTATCAAAATCTTGGACGAATTTTGGACACACGACGCCGAAAGAACAGCCAAACTAAGTCATGTATTCGAAAGCTTGTTGTTGACAGCCAAGATGTTCTGCCAACTGGCTTCGCCGGCAAAAGTCTTATTTTTAATATCAGGTCCTACCGGCGTTGTTTTCTGAGCTACATCGCCTTCTTCGTGGTACGACTGAGAATTTCATTGTTGCTGTTGTTAGCCCGTTTTAATAAAGAATATCCCTAATATGGCATGTTGTAAAAGACGGACTGGACTGGACTGGACTGGACCGAACTGGACTGGACTGGACCGAGAAAACGCGGACTGAGTCCGTGTTTTACAAATCGCGGACTGAATTTGTAAAACACGGACTGGACTGGACTGGACCGGGAAAACACGGACTGAGTCCGTGTTTTACAAATCGCGAACTAAGATTTGTAAAACGCGGACTGAGTCCGTGTTTTACAAATCGCGGGCTGCAATTTGTAAAAGGCGGACTCATTTCCTGAATGCACTAAGGATGAACGGTCGCATTAAAGTATTGTCTATTCTCATAACAAAGTTCAATGTTTTTACCGAGAAAATTCAATGTTTTTGATGATCATTTATGATCATTTGGTGGTTTCAAAGCTTGGATCTGGTTCTTCAACAGATTAAAATCAGATCAAAACCTGTCAAGTGCTCTTGGCAAACATCGAAGATTCTCACGCGAATAGGCAATATTTTTTTATGAACGACCGTTCATCCTGCAAGCGACGGTTCACGGACTCAGTCCTGTACTGACTCAGTCGTAAAAGTTTAGGCGGGAATTGCACTCAGTCGTGAGAGTTTTGGCGGGAATTGCGGATAATAGGTCGGTCAAGGAATAATCATATCCTGGACCTATTAGGTTGGTATAAATTATTATTATTTATTTAGTGTTTTGAATAAACAGATATTTAATAGCGTTCAATCTTACGAACACGCTCAGTCATGTGGGACTTTGTGCCATTATTTTCGAGGAAACTCATGCGTATATCAAATGTGGCCGTTTCACATGTAAATATAGTTGTATGCCTGTATAGATATAGCTCTTATAGCAGATATACCATTTAGTGTTAATCATAATTAGACGAAAATAGAGTTAATTCGTTTATTTTGTGTTCGTGGGGAAGAGGGCGTATTAAATAAAGGTGTTTACAAATTTGCGAGAAATATGAAATGAATACTGTAATCGAATTTACCTTTCAAATATTTGTGTTATTAAGTCTATTAAACGGGGAAACTCTCGCAGGCCATCAAAACATCAAAGGTGGTGTTGTGAATGTTGTGCATATAAATTACAATAAATTTAAATTTCTTAACTCAGTATTGTTGTCGTACGAGGAAGTTTCTAAAAATCGTTATTGGATTATAGTATTCATTTCGCATATTTCTCGCAAATTTATATATACACTCGTTTTCAAAATTACGCGACCTCCCTGAAAAATATACTATTTAAATACTTCAAATGTCAGTTCTATTTCGTCATCAGTTACGTCACTAGGGAGTCACATGAGATATGCATGCGCAGATCGAGTATTCACTTTTGCACGTGTCGTTCAAAGTATTCAGTTGCAAGTTTTATATCATGGAGAATTTCGATTCAGAAAAAGTTGAAAAACCGACTGCCGAAGTATCGTCCGGTCAAAGTGAGGAAGACGACCTCTTTGCCGAAGTGGACATCGACGGATCCAACGAGAATGACGACTTACCGGCGAAATCAAGCAGTTTTCTACGGCAGTTAAACCAATCCTTACATACAATGGTTGGGTCGATCATGGAAAAATCGCTAAAACGTCTCCACGAAGACAAGACACCTCCGGCGAAACGAAAGAAACCTCGCCTGGCTACAGAGACAACTGGACCTGAGGAAGTAGAAGAAAACCAGAGCAGCGACGAAGATACACGGGCACTTTGTGGCCCATCAAATGCCGACTCGGCAGAAAGCTCTCAAACCACGAACGCTCGACTCGAGCAAGACACTGACAATTGCAATGACTCATTGCTGTCAGAAATTGAAAATGGTTTCTCTCAGGAGGACGATATGGGCCCGGCTATCACAGAGAAACTCGCTACCATAATCAATAAGCGTTGGTCTGAAAAACTGAGCGATCAAAAGCTGAAAGAAAAGCGGGATCAACATCCCCGCCCAGACAACTGTGACAGACTTGTGGCGCCACGCATTAACCCAGAACTCTGGGCGAGAATAGACCACACTGCAAAACAGTTGGACCTTCGCGCCAGCACAAACCAAGCTAATCTGGCCAAAGCTGTGGTTGTCCTGGCAAAATCAACCGACAAACTTTTGTCACTTTATCAAAAAGACTCGAAGCCCGAGTACCGAGAGCTTATCACACTCAACACAGACGCCCTTGCTCTGCTGGGACACGCGTCGTGTGAAATGTCACAACGAAGGCGGGAAACGCTAATATCAATTGGAAAGATATCAATTGGGATTTTATCCTGTTTCTTCTCCTGTTGCTAATATTGCTAATATTGTAATTTTTGTGACAAATGTTAATAAATTCAAATTTAATAAATTAACAAAGAATACACGACCCTTTGCGCCTTGCATGTTCCAGTTACATCCCTCCTATTTGGGGATGACCTACAGGGTCAACTAACAAATATACGAGCTACAAATAAAGTTAGCAACACAATCAGCGATGCGAGAAAACAATATAAAAATACACAACAATGGCGACCACGATCAGATTACGACAATAATCCCAGTTGCAATATCAATCCTCTCAGTTCTTTACAGGTGAGTAACCTCGCCTTAAACATTTATACAAATATGAAATCATATTTTCAGACCAAAATTGTGCATTTCAAGAGTGGTCAAATATCAAAACACATTGCCAAATGGCATGAGATTACCTCTGACCCAGAGGTTCTAGGTTCGTGGACTTCACATTGATTTCTCGACCGAACCTTATCAATGACAAAGGGTATAATAGAAAAATCACTACATGAGCCAGAAGAGTTTATCTCCCCCATATTTCTAAAGGAGAAAAAAGATGGATCATACATCCTCAAGCGACCAAATGCTCATGTTCAATACCACCATTTCAAAATGGAGTCAATTCAGTCAGCCATTAGACTGCTGACACCAAACTGTTTTATGGCATCATCGATCTGAAAGATGCGTACTACTATACTGTGTCCCAATAGTAAGCTTCCACCACAAATATCTAAAATGTGAGTGGTATGGGTCACTGTACCAGTTTATTTGCTTCACCAATGGCCTAGTAGCCTGTTGCCCATGCAAGTTCACAAAACTAATGAAGCCAGTACTTTTTTACCTCCGGAAATTGGCTCACCAATCCTCCCTTTACATTGATGACTCATTACGAACAGGTCAAACCTATGATGACTGTGCAGCTAATGTGATTGACACAACACAGCTCATAGACAACTTGGGGTTTATAGCTCACCCTGACCAATCTGTTTTCATCCCCACTCATGAATTAGACTATCTTGGTTTCACACTGAACTCCAAAACTATGCAGGTGACTATAACACCTGGAAAGAAGTTGAATCTCATAGAAACATGTAAGGAACTCCTTACGAAAGAATACCCTACTATCCGTGAGGTTGCTAGGGTAATTAGGCTTGCTCATCTCAAACTTCCCAGGTGTTGCGGTGTTGCAATGGGATCACTACATTACAGACTTTCTAAAGCTGACATAATACAGCACTTAAACATAACAAAGGAAAGTTTGATGCCAGTGTGCACTCTCGGCTGAAGCCAAGGAAGAACTTGTGTGGTGGATAAATAACATTGACACTGCATTCAACCCAGTGCATAGGGGGCAACCTAACATAACCATACAGACAGATCAGATGCTTCGAACTGAGATGGGGATGTGCACTGGGTGACAAAACAACTAGTGGACTCTGGGGCCAAACTGAGTCTTATGAACACATAATTTACTTAGAAACACTAGCAGTCTTTCTGTCCCTTAAATCCTTTCAGCATATTCTAAGTGGCAACCATGCAATGATCATGGTGGATAATACCACTGCTGAAAGCATCATTAGAGAAATGGGAACCAGCCTATGTACAGGTAGTGCTAGATTAAATCACCTGGTAAAACAAATTTGGCAGTGGTGTGAAAGCCAGAAAATATGGATAACAATGGCACACATACCAGGGGTTGAAAACTGTCAAGCAGACTTTCAGCCTCGGTCTTTCAATTGGGGGACTGAATGGTGTCTTAGTTAACAAAGACATACTTACCTTGGCATGCAACATGCTCAGGTTTACCCCCGACATTGATCTATTTGTTTCCAGAATCAACCATCGTAGCATTTAGACCAGACCCTGAAGCAATTGCCATTAATGTATTTCACATGACATGGACTCAATTTGCTCTCTATGCTTTCCCACCATTTAGTGTGATAATGCAAGTGCTACAGAAAGTCCAAGAACATCAAGCCTCAGGGATCCTAGTGATCCCATATTGGCCAACACAGATATGGTGGCCGAAAGCAATGAACATGATTGTCCAACAGCCAATTGTCTTACCAAAAAGCAAGGAACTATTATTCCTCCCCAACCAACCCAACAAAATATATGGAACATGAACAGTCTAAAATTGCCAAAGAACTGTTACTGAAAGACTTAACTCTAAAACTGTTTTAAAAGGCTTTTCCTCAGGACAAACAATTATGTGTCTCACATTACCTGTTGGAATATATACAACGCACAAAGGGAATCAGGGAAAACACAAAACAGCTTGTGACTCACCAAAAGGCAAAGTGAAACTTTATTAAATTTTGGTGAAACTTTATTAAACTTTGTTTATGTTTATGTTAATGTTTAAACTAACATACTGTTAGACTGTGGCATATACCACACAAATTTCTAGTTGTTACTACGTACACATTGGTTTTGTACTGTTATACAATAAATCTTTGCTCCAGAATTTGCAGTGATTGCACGGCTTTGAAGTCTCATGTGACTCCCTAGTGACGTAACTGATGACGAAATAGAATTTAAAAATTAAACGAGACTTACCTGTAAGTTGAAGTTTGATTGTAATTCTATGAGTTATCAGTGAGGAACTAGGGAGTCACCCACCCAACACACTATGTGGCCAAACTAGAGATGGCAAGCCCACCCTTGTTGGGTGCAATCACTACTGCTTCAAAGGCTGAATACTCGATCTGCGCATGCATATCTCATGTGACTCCCTAGTTCCTTACTGATAACTCATAGAATTACAATCAAACTTCAACTTACAGGTAAGTCTCGTTTAATTTTTAAATTTTATGTCACAAAAACTGCTAAAATTAGCAAACGTAAACAAACTGTCAAAAGGCGTATTTAATACCAAAACTGAACAAAAATTAGTTAGATAACTTAGATATACAAACTAAACCAAAATACAAACCATCACAACAGAAATATATGTCGTGAATAACTTTTAAAGTTTGAAAACTAACAATTTACAATTTATCCTGGAATTTTAAGCTGTCAGTATAAAACACGCGCTAGACTATAACGGTGACGTTTATACTGTAATTATATGATTTTGTTTGTGCTTAAATTTTGCAATAATTCGCACTAAAATATCTTGAAAATCATTGTAAGCCTATTTATATAAAGCATAATAAGCATACACATCGACAAGGAACGGGAAAACTCAAAGTTTAAACCGGTTCGTGACCGAATGACATAACTGACATGTCAACTCTAGCATTTTCGTCCTTGGTCGTGTAATTTTGAAAACGGGTGTAATATACACCCTCTTCGCCACAAACACAAAATAAATCTGCTATAAGAGCTATATCCAGGGGCTCCAACTAGCCCCTTTTAATTCGGGGGTGTGTGCCAATTCCGTGTTAAAACATGGCTTAAACCCTTATTTTTGGACCAATATAAATTCTATAAATTCCATCTGAAAGCCCTGTAAATTACTTAACTCTACATTCTATCATTTGAAATCTTTGATTGCCGTGCCAATCCACATGATTTGTATTGGGGTGGGGGGGGGGGGGGGGGTATCGCCCCTAGCGATATCTATACAGGCATACAAATTATAGTTTACATGAAACGGCCACATTTGATATATATACGCATGAGTTTCCTCGACAATAGTGGCACAAAGTCCCACACGATTGAGCGTGTTCATCAGTTTATTCAAAACAATAAATAAATACTAGTAATTTATACCAACCTTTGGTCCAGGATATGATTATTCCTTGACCGACCTATTATCCGCAATTCCCGCCAAAACTTTCACGACTGAGTGCAATTCCCGCCAAAACCTTTACGACTGAGTCACTTCGATGTTTGTCAGAAAATGAGTCCGCCTTTTACAAATCGCAGCCCGCGATTTGTAAAACACGGACTCAGTCCGCGTTTTACAAATCTTAGTTCGCGATTTGTAAAACACGGACTCAGTCCGTGTTTTCCCGGTCCAGGCCAGTCCAGTCCGTGTTTTACAAATTCAGTCCGCGATTTGTAAAACACGGACTCAGTCCGCGTTTTCCCGGTCCAGTCCAGTCCAGTCCGGTCCAGTCCAGTCCAGTCCAGTCCGTCTTTTACAACATGCCCCCTAATATCCGCGTCCAGCAAGTTGAGACCTTGAGAAAGCTTGGCAGTCAAGCCCGAGGTCAAGCCGTGCACAGAACTGACTAATTAAATCATTGTCTGAATCTTATTTATATAAAAGTATACCTTGAATTTTTAAGTTTAATTATAAAGCAAAATGCACACTCTGCGGACATGTTCACGAGAATATAATTTTTTTGTGTAACGAAATCTACAACACTTGTCAATCATATTGCATGTTGTGTCTAAAAATAACATGTGGGCGTCCCACGGTTTAGACAGGTTTTGTGTCAGGCCCTATTTCAAATTAGGGCCTGAACTTCAGGTTACGCCTTCCTTCGCCTTTCCCTTTGCCGCCTGCGCTCCTTCGCCCAGCTGCTACGCTCGTGTTTCAAGATCCGCCATGTAAAGTGTAGTGAAATGTATCTCATCGTAATATTAAATCCTAAGAAAACTAAAGCCTCTGCGGAGGAGAGATCCCGGTTTATGTCACCCGGGATGAGATTTTCAGCCCGGTCAACCGGGATGAAATATCCCATGTAATCGCAAATAATTTCAGCCCGGGCTAAAAAAAAACAATCGTTTAAATGGCTTTATTTTGCGTTTCGTCTCATCTTTAATACTTTATATGCAACCACAGTCTTACACAAGTCGAATAGTCGACTAATCGGCGCTTTAAATGCTCAAACAAGCGGAATATTGCCTTTCGTGATATCGTATGATTTCAGCCCGGGATGACATTTCAGCCCGGGTTTGTTTACTACAAGGGATAAATATAGCTGACTAAAACTCAGCCCGGGTTTAAATTGCCCATGTAATCGTGATGCTATTCAGCTCAGTTAGAAAATAATTTTAGCCCGGGCTGAAAACTCTCCATGTAATCGGCCCCTTAGACTAACAAAGCATAAAGCACCCCACACTGGGAACAAACCATAAAAATGTGATATTTGCGAGATTTTTGGGATTTTTTTTAAGTTGGCATATATATTTTCCAGAAAATATCTCCCCCTTTGCCTACAATTTTGGGAAACATGGCAAAACATGGCAAAACACGCGAGAAAGCACACCAGAAAACAACCTTATGAATAACGACATAAGAGAACACATACTGTGGATAAACTTGATTATGATTTTGCAATAAAGAAAGTTCTCAATTCAGTAACAAAGCAATACAGACTGCAAATCAAGTCAAGGGGTTCTGAGTAACAAATTATTTAGTAATGTATAAATGAAAAAAACATATTAATGAAAAACTTCTAATTACTGTATTATGAATGTGATGTTTGCAGGGAGGGGTATATTAATTCATGTTCCACATGTATTCTGCATACCTTGTGGGGGAGAAATTTTTCAATCTTTTAACCTGAAAATTCGACCTGCAATTTAGAGCCATCCTAAATTTATGATATTCTATAAGAAGTGGAAAAAATATTAAAATACCAATAAATCAATATTGTTCAATATTGCAATCACATTATTTTTTATTAATTTATTTTTTTTCAATTACCAAGTTTTGCGGTTATAAAAAACCTTGATGGTAAGACAATGTTGCCACCATACGTGGCCTTTTATACATATATGTAAAACTTAACTGTCCGTACAGTAACATGCATCTAAAGAATTACTCGAGATAGAGCAGCCAGGTTATAGTACTGTCAAATTCATAGTATGTTATGAAGTTATTATTTGGTTTCGATTATATGCTGGTTTTACGTGCATGGCTTTACAGTACGTGTTTATAATTAATCATGAATAAAGCATTACTCTCAACACCTCTACAACAAACTTACAATCTTACCTGGGGTTAAAAATGTGAATTTAACAACAGAATGTGCCCATGATAGTTACCATTACAGGTTAATTTTATAAAAATTGCATTACTCTACAACTATTTTACCAGCTATATACTGTATATGATGAAACGTTTTTCGTTCTAGCCAAATTATCATTTATAGTTTTTCAAAAGGTCTTGTATAATTCCAATATCCTCATAGCTTTGGGCAGTGTCAGGATGATACACTCCATAGAGTCTTATTCTGATGTGAAGAGCTTTTCGATATGATTCTAAAGCAGATTTGTAGTCTTGCATTGTATGCTGGCTATGTTGTGTGAGTCCAATATGACGATAACTTCGGGCAGTGTCAGGATCATCTTCTCCAAACAGTTTTAATCTGATTTGATGAGCATGTTGATGTGACTGTAATGCTGATTTGTAACTTTTCATATCATACTGTGTGACACCAATATCATCATAACTTTGAGCCGTAGCACGATGATCTTCTCCAAACAATTTTAGTCTGATCTGAAGGGCATGTTTACGTGACTCCAATGCTGACTTGTAACTTTTCATTTTGCTATGTATCATTCCAATTTCACGATAGCTTCGCGCTGTGTCGCGATGATGTTCTCCAAACAATTTTAATCTGATTTGAAGTGCTTTCTGCTGGGATTCTAATGCTGAGTTGTAATCTTTCATCTGATATTGTGTGACTCCAATACCATCATAACTTTGAGCAGTAGCACGATGATCTTCTCCAAACAATTTTAATCTGATTTGAAGTGCTTTCTGCTGGGATTCTAATGCTGAGTTGTAATCTTTCATCTGATATTGTGTGACTCCAATGTTGTAATAAGTTTGAGCTGTGTCAGGATGGACTTCTCCAAACAGTTTTAATCTGATTTGAAGAGCATGTTGATCTGACTCTAATGCTGACTTATAATCTTTCATCACAATTTGTGTGTTTCCAATCCTGTTATAAGTTAATGCAGTGCATGAATGATATTCTCCAAATAGTTTTAATCTGATCTGAAGAGCATGTTGGTATGACTCTAATGCAGACTTGTAATCTTTTAAATTATGTTGTGTGATTCCAATTTCGTGGTAACTTTGTGCTGTGTCGGGATGATATTCTCCAAATAGTTTCAATCTGATTTGAAGAGCATGTTGGTTTGAAAGTAATGCTGACTTGTAATCTTCCAACTTATTTTGTGTGATTCCAATTTCGTGGTAGCTTAGTGCTGTTTTGGAATGATTTTCTCCGTAAAGATTTAATCTTATTTCAAGAGCTTTTTGTTTAGATGCCAATGCTGAATTGTTTTTGAATTCCGTTTGCCTTTTACCCTAAGACAATAATTTAAATATGAGTGATTTGCGGTTTTGGTGTTATGGTTGTATTTGAACTTATTCTTGTACTACACAATGCTTGTAACTATAGTCTATTAAGATATTGCAAACTCATGTTCAACTGTGTCTCATGCACCGTAGAAAAATCTTTTGTCACAATTTCATCATCATACAGTAGCTGTCCGAATGAATGATGAGTCTCAGCTATCCCTATTGAGCAGTCACTTAAGGCGGTTTTCCACTAGGCGAAATTTTTCGACCGAATCGAAATTTCTCTTTGTTTCATGAGCTCTCGAACAGAACTAATTGTAAAAAGACCAAGAATGTGAATAATCGCAACATGAAATACTTGTCCGCGAAAAAAACTTTCTTAATGTCTTTAATGTTTATATTTGTTATTTTGTACCTTTAAAACTTAATAAATACTCTACTACAAAACATAATTAAACTGTGGTTGGTAGTTTGATCTTGTTAGAATACCTTTTTTCCTAACTTTCAGACGAATAAATTGGAAAACAAATGAACAAAATAGGGAAATTCACACAAATACTTATGATTAGACCACGGCAAGCTCCACTCCTGGCTCAACGTTTTTTTCTCAAAAAACGAAATTTAATTACGAATTCTACACAAATAAATTAAAATATTTTACTCTAAAGTTTTGAAGGATGTTTTTATTGTAAAAAATGTACTGGTAGGTGCATTTTACGTCGTCTTAAACCATGTTTTAGTGCATTTTTTTACCCAGTTTTGGAAATTTAAAAAACCCGCGTTCATTTCTGTTACGTGAAAAGACTGGGCATGACAACAGTGGGCATGCCTGGGCATGGCTTCACATTTCCCGTTGGAGGTATCGTTCCAGTTATTTTTAGTTCAATGGATCGCTCATGTTTCATGGCGTGGATTACACTTACTGCCAAAATGGCGGGCAACGCGTGTTCATAAAAAATCGCGGACACAATTTTGGCTGAGTGATTCATCTGGTATTATCTATCATCTGTGATCATACTGCGATTTCCAGTTGAGCATGGAATTGCGAAAGTTTGTTCGTTAAGTTTTGTCGTTTGAAAACAATGTCTGTGACGTCATTCTATAATGTTACTATAGGCGAGCTCACAATGTTGTCAAGTAAAAACTGTCAAGTTCACGACTATAAATGGAAACTGTTGTTTAATTGTTCTATAATCTACATAATTTTTACTTGACAACATTGTGAGCTCGCCTAGTAACATTATAGAATGACGTCACAAACATTGTTTTCAAACGATAAAACTTACTAAACTTAACGAACAAACGTTTGCAATTCCACGTTCAACTGGAAATTGCAGCATCTTGAGAAACTATGTTGTAGGCAAAATTTGCCGTTGATGTTTCCAAGTTCGGCGGCAATTTTGTTTTCTTTCTAAATGACAATTTGAACTTATAGAGCAAAATAATGTGTTACATGTATTTACTTTTGCTGAACAATGACTTTGTTAGAGATTAGAACAGACTTGTTTTTACAGTATTCTGTTGAGTATTCTACACTGATGATAAATGTTTAATATTCAAGAAAACCATGTTTCACTTTTATATATACGTTGAGACCCGCAGCGATCATCAAATAATCATTATTATTATATACACAAGGTCTGGATATGAGATATTCTGCAATCTGATTGGTTCTCTACTAGCAGGATATCAGCTCATATCCTGCTAGTAGAGAAAAATAAAATGTCGGCTTAAACTGAATTTCCGACGCTTTACGAACGAGAAAGCGGCAAGTTGTTAGCTTTTTACAACCTTTACAGGAATAAAAATACAATGAAAAAACTCCCACAAATTGTTTACAGGTTAGCAATAAAAAATTGAAATGATAAAAAAAATCTTGAAAATTAATCGGCCGAAAGAGGAAGATAAAAACATAAACAACATAGAAAACTATTGAAAATGTCCGAAAAGCAAAGTCTGCAAATTCAGACCTTGTGTATATAATAAAATAACCTCACTCTCGCCGAATAAAACTCACTAATAAAATAATATAGAATAAAACTCACTCTCGCCGAATATGAGCGATAGGCGATTGGGCACTACGCGCCTCATCGGCTATCAGCTCATATTCGACTCGAGTTCGTAAAATAACTCAGTCGCGTAGCCAGCCCGACAATTTCGTCAATCGATCTCTAAAGAAATGAATAATGATAATAATTTGATATTTACATAGTATGACCAAATTATCGGGCTGGCTACACCACTGGAATAACTGTTAATTATAATATCTGTTCCTATGTAGAAGAATTAATCGAACTGAGGTCTGAGAAGGCAGTGACTACAACAATTCGACTGCATCTTTTTCATTTTACAAAACACAACACATTTTACACGATGAAAACTGGTATACAGGGTATGAGAGATCGATACTGGAATTTTTTCTCAAAATTCTTACTATGGAAATATTACGGATCATTCCTGGAAATAGTAAGGAAATCCAATTTTAATACTAAATATTCATATTATGGATATAGTATGGAAATAGTGTGGAAATAGTGTGGAAATACTATGGATTTTAGTGATGTAATTTCAAATTCCATAGTATGGATTTTATTATTTTTTCCAGTGTGCATAAGTTTTAGATTCGTTTCCATGCCTGAACGGCTACCAAACTTCGATTATATGAGGTTTGCTCGCAATTTCGGAAATATAACGAGCTTAAAATTTTCTTATCGGTTTACCTGTAAACGAAGGCGGCACGTTGAAAACCGGTTAGAAGACATCTACTTCTTCCTAACACTTTCTTTTCTCCGGAGAAATCATGCTCCAGGCCTCGTATATAGCGGCGGCCACGGCGGCCACTGGCCGTCAATGCCCTGCTTGTTGGCCGCTATGCTCTCGAAATATACTGAAATCCACGGCCAGTAGTGGCCTGCCCTCAACCCCAGACTACAGTACATAGGCTTTAGAATACCAGTAGAGTATGTTTATTGGCCACTATTGACTGGTTACTAAACTGGCGGCCGACATGCGCAATGCGACATGCGCGAGGACAAAAACTTCAAAGCTTCTGACGTAAGTGGCCCTTCTGTATGAATCTTTGTTCTGTGGTTGAGATGACCGTTTGAAAGCACCACAGGGGGTCCAACTAAGAGCTGTATTATGAATAAAACATATTAATTAAACGTAATATGAATAAAACATCATAACGTAATATATTTAAATTATTGCACTTACTTGTATAAATCATAAGAGCTTGTATTTGCAGTGAATAGCTTCAAACAGGGCGCTTATCCCCGAGCCGGCGGCGCGAAGCGCCGTGCGAGGGTACTAATTCCGCACGGCTAATTATACCCGGGTATGTGAAAACATAGCGGATTGCAAAGTTGTCCTCCATTTTGTTTATGTCATGGGCGGTTTTCGACGTTATTCGCATGCGCGAGTACAAACTTTGTCGAAGTAATTGTTTTTCATTTTGAAAGGACGTCCCACCGGGCACACGACGTTGTTTCAACGTTGAAATTTGGCAGAAAAAAGGTTGCGACGTCGACAACCTAATATCTACGTTGCTCTGACGTTGTTTTACAAACATTGGTTCAACAGCAGCCAACAGACGTTGAATTAACGTTCATTCATGGTTAAATGTACGACGTCGATTTGTGAACCAATCTCAACGTTGTTTTAACGTGGATTCAACGTTGAATTATGGTTGACGAGATTGGAAACCTAATTTCAACGTTGTTTCAACGTCGAAACAGTAACGTCGATCCAATTTGCATAGTCAACCCTTTTGCAACGTCTATCCAACGTCTGGAAGGTCATTTCCAACGTTGATTCAACGTTGGATAAACGTCATTTTGCCCGCTGGGGTATTTTGCTGTTTTACAGCAATTTTTTGTTTTAAATTTCGTTAAAAAGTTTACAAAAGTACAACACGGTTTTATTTTTCGATTTTAACTGGAAATAAGCCTGCAGTTTCATGAATTAGGGAGCAGTCATTATTAATGCCAGGGGGGGGGCGGAAGATATTTCTAAACTCATGGTAAATTTTTCATGGCCCCTCATTCCTTCAAAATATTTTTTCATGGCCCCCCCCCTTTAAATATAATAAATTTTCATAGCCCCCCCCCCGTGATTGAACTTGCATTCCAAACATAATTATACTAAGATCACAGGCGGCCCAATCTCGCAAGCGACGTCTTGGGCTCTGTGGTGCTTGATTTTCGATAACTGGGGGGAGCGGGAAATCAAAACAACAAGTCCAATATGGCGGGGAAATTTATCTTTATCTTGTATAAAAACCACATGGACGAATTCAATTGAACTAAATTTTGGCACAAGAATGAGTTTAAAAAACATAGTATGACAAAAAGAGCCTGTGGAGAATACCTGAAAACAGTTTTAAGAAATAATCTCGACGAGATGCAGCGAAACGTGACTATGTAAGTCTGTATAAATACAATTTACAAAGATTTTCTTAATAATTTCATATGTTATTTGAGTTTGAATCATTTGTCCATATAGTTTAAATTATGTGCCTTTATGAGTTTATGATCATTTCCCAAGTTTTTTTTATGCCAAATTGCTTACAAAAGAATTAAAAACTCTTGACAAAATGAAGTTGAATTTTATTGAATTTCATCATGCTATGCATAAAATAAATAATCACTCGGGCAAGTCGTGCAATTAACACTGGCAATTAATTAACAGCTTGTGCAATTTTAGCGCATTTTTCAAATATTACTCGTAGTGTTAATATAATTAATTGCACACCTTCCTGTGTGATTACCTATACTTATATTGCATTGACATTTATATTACAGTGAACTATAATGCTGATGTTTCATGATTATTGTACATTAGTATAATTACATAGGTGATTATTGAAAATTCTCCACGCTGATTGGTTACCGTTGAGGTGATTATTACGCGATAATCACATAAGCGATTTTCAAAATGGTGGCCGAAGCCGTTTTGTTGATTGAAAGACGAAGAAATGTGCATTTTAAATTTTTTTTCAAATAATC